CAACCTCAAACTGTTGGGCTCAAATGATCCTCTTGCTTCAATCTCCCAAGTGGCTGGGACTACAGGCGCCCACCACAACACCTGGCAATTTTTGGAGACAGGGGTCTTGCTCTTGCTGAGGCTGGTCTCAAACCTGTGAGCTCAGGCAATCCACCTGCCTCGCCTCCCAGAGTGCTAGGATTACAGGTGTGAGCCACCACAACTGGCTTCCTTTCTTAACTCTTAAGTAAATAGCTAGGACAGGAATGGTTTGATTATACAGATCTTTAATTTTTAAAAAGAAACTCCAATTCTGTTTTCTACAGTGGTTTTAGCATCTTTCGTTCTGACCAGCCATGTGGTTTCTCCATATCCTTATCAACACTTAAAATTCTCAGTATTTCTCTTATATTAGTCATTCTAATAATGAGTAGTAGCATCTCATTGTGGTTTTCCTTTGCATTCTCTAGTGACTAATGATGTTGAACCTCTTTTCCTGTGTTTGTTTGAGGTCATGCTTTTTCTCTGGTGAAGTGTCTCTTCAGATCTCATGACTGCTTTTCTATTGAGTTATTGGTTTTCTTATTATTGAGTTTCGAGAGTTCTTTATGTATTCTGGGTACAATTTGTTTGTTGGATATGTTATTTGCAATTATTTTTCTCTCAGTCTGTGGCTTGCCATTTTAGTTTCTAAACAGTATTTTTCACAGAGCAAATGTTTGAATTTTGATGAAATCCAATTTGTTAGTTTGTCCTTTTACGGACAATGCTTTTGGTGTCTCATCTAAAAAATCTTTGCCTAACCTAAGGTCATGAATATTTTCTCCTGTTTTTTTCCTAGAAGCTTTATCATTTAAGGTTTTACATTTAATTGGGCGTATAATCCATTTTGAGTTAACTTTAGCATGTAGTGTAACATACCCATCAAGGTTTTGTGGGAGGTTTCTTTGCATTTAGATATCCAATTGTTCCAGCACCATTTGTTGAAAAGATTATCCTTTCTCCTCTGAATTGCCTTTGCACCTTTGCCAAAAATCAGTCATCTATATATGTGTGATCTATTTTTGAACTCTCTATTCTGATCCATTGATCTACTTGTCTATCCTTATGCTAACAACACATTTCTTTTATTTACTGAAGCTTTGTAGTAAATCTTGAAATCGGTTAGTATTTGTTCTCCAACTTTGCTCTTCTTTTTTAAAATTGTTTTGGCTATTCTAGGTCCTTTGCATTTCACAGGATTTGAGAACCAGCTTGACAATTCCTACTCAAAACTACTGTGATTTGGATTGTAATTATGTTGACTCTTTAGATCAATTTGGGAAGAACTAAGATCTTAACAATATTGAGTCTACCAACCTATGAACATACTTTTTCTATATCTATTTAGGTCTTCTTTATTTTTCTCAATGTGTTTCATACTTTTCAGTGTATGGATCTCCCACTTTTTTTTTTGAGACAAAGTCTCACTATGTCACCCTCAGTAGAGTGCTGTGACATAATAGCTCACAGCAACTTCAAACTCTTGCACTTAAGCAAATCTCTTGCCTCAGCCTCCCAAGTAGCTGGGACTACAGGTGCCAGCCACAATGCCCAGCTATTTTTTTGTTGCAGTTGTCATTGTTGTTTAGCTGGCCAGGGCCAGGTTCGAACCCACCAGCCTCAGTATATGTGGCCGGCGCCCTATTCACTGAGCTATGGGCACTGCCATCTCACATATTTTGTCAAATTTATCCCTAATTATTTAGTATTTTTGATGCTATTGTAAATAATTTTATTTTTAATTTCCATTTCCAATTATTTGTTGCTAGCATATAGAAATACAATGGGTTTTAATGTAGTGATCTTATATCCTGAAACCTTGCTAAATTCATATTACATTTGGCCTTCTATATTCAAAGGTTCTACATTTGTAGCTTTTGAAAATATTTGGAAAAAAATCAAAAAAAGCAATACAATAATAAGAAATAATACAAAATTAAAAATACACTATAACAACTATGTACCTAGATTTAAATTGTATTAGGTATTGGCTCAGTGTTTGCAGCACAGTGGTTATGGTGCCAGCCACATACACCAAGGCTGGTGGGTTTGAACCCAGTCCAGGCCAGCTAAACAATGACAACTAAAACAAAAAATAGCCAGGTGCTGTGGGGGGAACCTGTAGTCTCAGCTACTTGGGAGGCTGAGGCAAGAGAATTGCTTAAGCCCAAGAGTCTGAGGTTGCTGTAAGCTGTGACAGCATAGCACTCTACAGAGGGCAACATAGTGAGACTCTGTCTCAAAATAAATAAATAAATAAATTATATTAGGTATTATAAGTTATCTAGAAGTGATTTAAAGTATATGGGAGGAATTTTGTAGGTTATGTGCAAACACTATGCCATTTATGTAAAGAACTTGAGCATCTATGAATTTTAGTATCTACAAGGGTCCTGGAACCAATTCCCTGGGAAATAAGGGACAACTGTAGTTCTCATAGTTTTTTGTAGATTCCATTGGATTTTCTACATAGATGATCACTGATGAAATATTCCTTTTCCACTCTCTCCTATGCTGTGCTGATACTGCTGTGGATCCCTAGTCCCTTAGCCTGTCCTGGTTCTACCTCAACAAAATGGGCAACTGGTCTAACCAAGACTGATTCTTTTTTTTTTTTTTCTTTTGAAACAGTCTCACTCTGTTGCCCTGGGTAGAGTGCTGGGGCATCATAACTCACAGCAACCTCAAACTCTTGGGCTCAAGCAATCCTCTTTCCTCAGCCTCCCTAGTATCTGGGAGGCACCCTCCATGACACCCAGCTACTTGGACTTTATTTTTGGTGGGGGGGCGGTTAGTAGAGACAGAGTCTTGCTCTTGCTCAGGCTGGTCTCAGTCTCCAAAGCTGACGCAATCCACCTGCCTCAGCCTCCCAGAGTGCTGGGACTATACATTGCACCCAGTCCCAAGGCTGATACATTGATGGCTGGGGCTATGACCCTCAGGGCTTACAAGTTATCATATCCTTGGACAGCAGTTCCAAGGGACCCCCTCAGGCATACTGTAGGGATGACTGCCTCATTAATGTTTTTGTCCTTCATACCCCAAGGAACAGATTGTCTGCCTCATTCCTATAATCCATTTCTTTCCCTGGATTTCTGAGCCAGAGCCCTATGGAGAGTCTCTCTCAATGTCTTTCTTCCCTTGTGCCCAGCTGAGGTAGTAGGGGAAGTTCATATGGCTTAGGGGGAGTATAGGCCCCTGGGAATAAGTTGAAGCATCTTTCTTAAAAGGAGGAAAGAAAGAGATTGGTCCCAGGAAGTACCTGTGGCTCAGTAGGTAGGGCGCCAGCCCCATATACCAAGGGTGGCAGGTTCGAACCCAGCCCCAGCCAAACTGCAACAAAAAAATAGCCAGGCGTTGTGGTGGGCGCCTGTGGTCCCAGCTACTCAGGAGGCTGAGGCAAGAGAATCGCCTAAGCCCAGGAGTTGGAGGTTGCTGTGAGCTGTGTGACACCACGGCACTCTACTGAGGGCAATAAAGTGAGACTTTGTCTCTATAAAAAAAAAGAAAGAAAAGAAAAGAAAGAGATTGGTCCCATGTGTTGCTTCTGTGGTGAATTGAACTTTCTGTCCATTTGTGCCTTGCCATTGTGTGCACCTGTCACAGAGAAGAAGGCTGTCCAGTATCTGCTGAATAAAGTGAATAGTGTCTCTGAGACCCAAGGCTCTTCAGTCATCACTTCCCAAAGGGCAGCACCTTCCTCTTTCCCTTGATCTAGCACGGCTTCCTGACACCAAGATTCTTTACTGGGATGTATGGGAGTAGATCAGGGGATGGAGAGGGAACATCTCCTTTAACTGATGGGTTTGGACTGCCCTGTCTTGCAGAGTCGGAACGATGTTATCCGAGAACGCTTTGGAATGGAGCCCAAACCAGAAATGCTTTTGGGACTTGCTGCCCTCCACATCTATATCACTGTCTCAGCCACTCGACCTAGTCAGAAGATCTCACTCAAGAATGTGGAGTGAGTTGTGCTGGGGCCCTTCGGGATGGGGGCAAATAGGGCAACAGTATACTGGTTGAGCTGAGCAGTGCTTTTCAGAAATGTAGGACTTGGGATGGGAGTGAGAGGTGGGGTTCCTCACACCTAGACCGTGAGGCCCTAGAGCTACAACATCCACTGGGGAAGGGCACCCAGTGTTACTCTCTGGTCCCTGTCCCTCTTTTTCTTCCTCCCAGTCTCTAGTCCTCCACCTCTACCCTACACTTTCAATTTGTGTCTTAACCCTGTTCCTCTGTCCCACTGTGTGTCTCTCACTAATCTCTTACTTTTCTTCTACGTTTAGGAAGGAGTGGGGCCTGGAACCCTTTCTTCCCCCCTCCCTCCTGCAGGGCATCAAAGAGAAGAACTTCCGGAAATCTCTCTCTCAGCAACTGAAGGCTCACCAAACACATCCTTCCTGTGGCACCAAGGTACCCAAAGTATAGGCCACTGGGCGCGCTGTGCTCAGACACCACTGCCCACAGGGAGGTCCCGAGGGGTTTTCCAGCAGGGTCTGGTCCTCTGGGGATTCTCAACACTCTTTTTGACTCACGTGCACATCTAACTTGGCCAGATAGGGGAGCAGGTATGGAGATGAGTTTTCCCCAGGCCTGAGCCTTCCTCAGAGACAGCTCAGTGGCATGTCACTAAGGCAGCTCAGGGCCCTCAACACAAAGGGGCCAAGGTTCAGGAGGAGATAGTTCACAGGTCCTTTCCCCAAAGAGTGCTCACTGAACACTTGTCCTGTAGAAAGCACTGGACCCTGGGGAGGCATGTGTTTTCCACGGAAACGACTGCTCTGTCTCTCAACAGCTTTCTAATTTATCAGCCCCAGGATATGGAATTTGGGGAGATTAAAAACCCAGCTCAAGAGTGGGGAGGAGGGTCGTTAAGGGACAAGGCCTGACCTGGAGAATGGGTCAGTGAGCAGTGTCAAGGGCTCAGGTCACTGCTTTACTATCTAGTGCTCTGAGTGCTTCCCACTCCCTGCTTCCCGGATCCCTGTGGGCCCTTTTTAGGCTGGTAAGGCTCAGTCTGCTTGTGCTTCCTGCCCAAGAAGCAGGAGCGTGGTGAGAAGCAGAGAATCAGCATGCAGATGTAGACACAGGACGCAGTCGCCCCCAGATATTCCACCCATTCCAGATTCCTGGCATTACCAACTAGCTTCTCTTTTAAGACGCACATTCCCCAGAGAGTTAAGTCATGCCCACCTTGCTGTGCATATTTAATCAGATTGTTTTCTTCTCAGCTGAGAGCACCAGTGCTCTGGTACCAACATCTCTTCAGCTAACGTTTTCGGAGGCGCCCCAGTGCTCAGGTTGGAAATAAAAAAATGAAGAGGGCCTGGGTTGGGCCCTCAGTCAGGGACAGTCTAGTGGGGAGACATAATAGTCCCAACACAGTGCAACAGGTGCGGGTGTTCTGGAAGCACGGAGGAGGACTACCAAGCCCCGCCCAAGTGAGGTGGAAGAAGCCAGGAAATTGGTGCATTTTCTCCTGCCTGTGTGGGTAGTTAAGAGGAAGACCTTTCCGGGCAAACAGGTCCACCTGGGATCCAAAAGCCTCTGGTTATCAGAGACTCTGGTGCAAGGGAAGAAATGCAAATAGTTCCGTCTAAGCAAGTACAGAGAATGCAAGGGATAAACAAGGGGTGGGGGTAGGAGCAAGAGGGGTGGATGGGAGCCAGTCCATGGAGGGCCTTTTGTGCTAAGGAAAAGGGTTGTACTTCATCCTGTACAGGAGCTGCTGAAGGGTTTAAGTAGGAAGCTGATGGAGCGTGGTGGCTCATGCCTCTAATCCCAGCATTTTCAGAGGCCAAGATGGCAGGATCATTTGAGGCCAGTTCAAAACCAGCCTGAGCAACATAGTGAGAGCCCCTGAGACTCCATCTCCACAAACAAACAAACAAAAAGAAATAAAAGAAAAATATTGGTCCAGGGACGATGGCTCATGCCTATAATCCTAGCACTCTGGGAGGCCAAGGCAGGTGGATTGCCCAAGCTCACACGTTCAAGACCAGCCTGAACAAGAGCAAGACCCCATCTCTAAAAATAGCTGGGCACTGTGGCGGATGCCTGTAGTCCCAGCTGCTGGGGAGGCTGAGGCAAGAGGATTGATTGCTTGAGCCCAGGAGTTTGAGGTTGCTTTGAGCTATGATGCCACCACACTCTACCAAGGGGAACAAAATGAGACTCTGTCTAAAAAAAGAAAAAGAGAGCAGCACCTGTGGCTCAGTGAGTAGGGGTGCCAGCCCCATATACCGAGGGTGGTGGGTTCAAAGCCAGCCCTGGCCAAACTGCAACAAAAAATAGCTGGGTGCCTTTAGTCCCAGCTACTCGGGAGGCTGAGACAAGAGAATCGCCTAAGCCCAAGAGCTGGAGGTTGCTGTGAACTGTGATGCAACAGCACTCTACTGAGGGTGACAAAGTGAGACTGTGTCTCTACAAAAAAAAAAAAAAGAAAAGAAAAGAAAAAAGAAAAAAATTATCTGAGCATGGTGGCACACACCTATAGTCCCAGCTACTCGAGAAGCTGAGGTGGGAGGATCCCTTGAGCTCAGGAGTTGTAAGTTACAGTGAGCTATCGTGATGCTCCTGCACTCTAGCCCAGGCAACAGAGGAAGACTCTGTCTCTAATTAAATAAATATATAAACAAACACACAAACCTATGTGTTAGGGAGGGTGCTTCCTCTAACTGTGTGGAGGCACTTGAGGGAGAAGGGGAAAACTTCTACCCATCCTAAAGGTAACCTGGCTGTCATCTTGACACAGGCGGGAATGTCAAGGCAATGACTGTGGGGCTAGATTATGGGGATGGATAGGTTGGAGAAGGCGTTGTGGGGAGAATAAAGATGATTTGGTGACTGGTGGCCCTCAGATCAGAGGAAGAAGGAGGTATCCAGTGTGACTTATAGGTTTCTGCCTCAGTACCCCAGGAATGCCAGATAAAGAGCAGGTTTGGGACTTGGGGGTCTCAGGAGTAAAGGGATAGGCTGGGATCCCTGGCTGCAGATGGCCAGTGTCTAGGTGAGTGCGAGGGTGTAAAGGATCTCTGCAGGGTATATAGATGAGGTAGGGTGTCACACTTGGAGCAAGTGTTCAAAGTAACTGAAGAACAAAATGAGTCAGCTGGATACTTTAGGAGCGTAGGAATGAGGATCAGAAGAAGGGATTCTAGAGGTAAGAGCTGGGCAAACTGAAAGCTCCCTGCAGTTTGACAGAGGGTCTCCTCACATTCCCACGGTGTGGCTTGCAGACAAGTGCCCATCCTCGGATGGTCAGACTCCTCTTTGAGAACATGGGTTTGCTTTTCCTGTGCTCTTCAGGCTTCTTATATTTCTGGGCGGGTTGTTTCCACAGGGCTCTGCAATTCAGGCAAAGCTCCAGTATCTTCGAATTCTGAATGAACTTCCGACCTTCACTGGCGTTTTGTTCAACACTGTGGGCCTGGTCAGTGGGGCAGGGTAGGGGGAAGCTGGGAGGGAGCCCTTTGTTGGCTCTTGTCCTTGGGTGGGGGGCAGGAGGGGCCGATATTTCTAAAGACCTTCATTCCACTTCCTCCTCCTTCTAACTTTCCCTTCCCCTGGTGCTCTGGCCCTGCCTCTGATAAAACGATCAAGTAGAAGGTACTTGTTTTTCAGTACCCCTTCGTGGCCCTTTTGTGTCCCCCTGTCCTCTATTTTAGAGGTCTCCAAACTTTACCCATAAAAGGCCAGATAGTAAAGATTTTAGGTTTTGCAAGGGGGCCATACAGATCTCTGTGGCAACTACCTGGCCCTGCGGTCCTATCAAGAAAGCAGCCATAGACGAGGCCTAAGCAAATGGGTGTGGCTGTGTGCCAGTAACTATTTACGGACACAAAAATTTGAATTTCATGTAATCTTCACATGTCACAAGATACTTCTTATATTTCCCCCCAACTATTTAAAAATGTGAAAATGATTCTTAGCTCGCAGGCCATACAAAAACAGGTGGGGGGCTAGAGTTGGCCCACCCGCCATCATTTTGTCAGCCCTTGCTCTATTTCATTTCCATTACACTTGCTCCCACCGTCCCCACCCCACCTTTCCTGAGTCCTTACACTTCCCCAGGCTTGCCCAGCGCTAGACTGCAACAAAAAACACCCTGGAGCGGGCAGAGCCAGCACACCCCTGAGACTGTGCCCCAGGCTACTTTACTCTGGTGAAAGGAAATTCAAATCATCCTGCTGATTGGATCCAGGTGCTTGTCTTGTTCCCAGGAGCGCTGTCAAGCCAGTGCCACGCACTGGTGGAAAGCCACTTATCAAAGTGTATATAGGCAGATGCAGGAGGTTCCTCAGGGTGACGCTAATGCGCGGGAATAGGCTGGCAGAGGGCTCAGGCTCGATCACCCCAAGAAGTGTGCCAGGACCACTTAAGGAATCCAGTCTATCAGGCCTAGAGGTACCATTTACATACTGGGATTTGCAGAACACTGAAAGCTCACTGTCCCCTCCT